CACAGAGTTCTTACCATAAGCCCTATCCTAGCCAGACCCTGCAGCTAACATTCCTTGTCCTGACTCTATCAGTGTGCACACAGCGTCTCTCACCTTTCCCCACCTTCTCCTTAGTCCCACAACAGGACAGGAGGCCCAGGATGCCAAGAGATCTTGCGTCCCAGTGGGAAGGTCTGATAAGGTCAGATTACAGACAAGCAAGGTCTCTTAGAAGTGCAGATGATGCCAAGTTAGCAGAATGTTTTCTCATCACCAAGCGAGAGAGGGGAAGGAACACTTCTGCTCTTCTAATAAAACAAGGGGAGATTTTCCAGACAGAGGAGCAGTTGGATGGGGTGGGGAGACAAGGTGTGGAGTCTGACCCTGGTGTGAGCCAGGTCCAGAGTGGGGAAAGAGATGTGATAGGCCAGGGGACTAGAGTGTGGGGACAGCAGGGACTTGCAGTCAGGTTGACTTTCATTGGCAGGTTAGCCTGATTTGCATTGCACCTACACACACACACACACACACACACACACACACACACACACACACACTCCCTGTTCAGTTTCTACTCATCCCAAGATGGCCGGAAACATGCCAAGTAGAGCATCCTCACGCTAGCACAGGGTGAAAAGATGACTCCAGGAGACACTGCCTCATCCCATCAGCTGAGCTGGATGGACTAGCCAAGAAAGGAAAGGGGAGATGAGGAGGGGGGCCCTGGGAACAGGGGAAGATAGCACGAGGCTTGACGTAGCAAGCTGGCCTGGGGAAAAAGAAGCAGGGCTCCCAGTACTGTTTGTCCTGCTCCGTTACGAAAACACTGTCTTCTCTCTTTTGTGGACTCTTGAGACTGGCCTTACAGGGGCGTGTGTGGGCTTCCTAAGACAGCAACCTAGTTTAGGAGGAACAGGTGGTCCAGAGGGACCCAGCCCTCTTCACTCACAAACCTAGCTCCCTTCCAGTTGCAGGAAGGCGTCTCCCTGGCTTCCTACAGCCAGTCCCCTGCAGAGTTCCAGGCAATGAGGAAGGGGAGGCTGTGGAATGGTGGACAGAAAGCTCACTGGAGTATGGGGGGGGGTGTAAAATACTTTTACATAGTTTTCAGGCAAAGTTTACTTTGAGACCTTTGAAAACAAGTCAGTCCCCACCCCACCACCAGTTCAAGTTCTGTGCCCGCAGAAAGTCACAGAATTTATCAAAAAGCCTTGCCAAGAAGGTAGCTGGCCCCAGCTCTGAGCCATTTCCCAAGACAAGGACTCAGGCCGCTCTGAGGTCAGCCATGGGTTGTCTGCCTGATACTTTTGTTAGAAAGTCCTTCCCAGGGCTTGTTCCAGCCTAAATCTAGTTCTCCTTTTGGAGAAGGATGTACAGATTGTTTCTGCTATGAATATAGAAACTGAGTCTCATGGGGGTTAGTGATAGAAGTCACAGGCATCAGGCTAGGTGCCTGTCGAGTCCTCCATGTGACCCTACTCATTGTGTAATGAAGGAGGCCTGTCACCTTCCAACACAGAAGGACTGAGTTTCAAGTTCCTATTACATAGTTGAATTAAGATTCAAGCCCAAGTAAAGCTTCCAAGCCCATCGGCCTCTTTATCTTCCCATCCCTCCTCCCACTGATTTAGAAGACTTCTGATGGTCACGGGGACTAATGATGTTTACCTTGACAACCATGGAGTTCAAAGAAACAACACAGGACTTTCCAGACAGCTAAGCAATGACCAGGTTTTGAAAGGTGGGGGCACCCACAGTCACATGAGCTGTGGTATGAACCCAGATCTTTTGACCCTCTTCCATGACCAGCTGGCCTGGGGCAAAGCCTCCATCCTCCTCAGCCTCTATGTCCTACCAGGAATGAGTAGGAATACAGACTTCAAGTTCTCTCCCAACTCTGAAAGCAGAAGATCCTAATTCTGCTTCCCTTGTGGACAATACTTGGCTTGCTGGATAGAGTAGCATCTGCCTGTGATCTGAGCATTCATGGGGCTAATGCAGGAGGAGTCTGAGACTTCCTAGCAAACACACACACACACACACACACACACACACACACACACACACACACACACACACACAAGCATTGCTGCTAGGATCCATTTTCCTGTGAGGAAGCCACAAAGCTAACAATCCAAGGAACTAAGTATTTTTTTGATATTGTGATTATTGTTATTGTTGTTATTTGTTTTGGCTTTTTGAGACAGTCCCCTTACACATCCCAGACTGACTCTGAACTCACTATGGAGACCAGGTCGGTCTCCAACTGGTGGTAGTCCTTCTGCCTCAGTCTCCTGAGTATTGAAATTACAAGCATTTCACCACCATGCCTAACTCAGGGAACCACAGGTCCAGAGATAAAAGCAACAGATTGGGATAGACAACATAGACAACAATGTTCTAGGCAGGTGGTTCTCAAAGTGACCAGTGATATCAGCATTGTCCTGGAGCACCTGGAGAAATGCAAAAACCACCATCATTAACTGATGACCTCTTGGGTGGAAACTCTGTTTTAGCATGATCCGAATAGGATCTTGTTTCTACACAACACAGCCTAAGAAGTGATATTATAGACCATGATTCCTTCAGGTCAGAGGTCTTGTTTGTCCTTGTATCCCTGGAAAAATGCACTGCTCCTGGCATACAACAGATTCTCGACAAATAGGAAGAACAGGAAACAGCAGGCACTCAACAAATGCTCAGACGAGGAAGGAAGGGCAGGACTGGGCTTGTTTTTATGTTGTTATGAGACAGTGTCTCACATATCTCAGCCAGCCTAGAACTTACTAGATAGCCAGGGGTAACCATGAACTTCTGATCCTCCTGCCTCCACTTCTGATCGCTGAGATTATAGGCATGAACCACCACACTTGGCTCATGTGATGCTGAGGATGGGCCAAAAGGCTGAGTTTCATGCCAGGCTAGCACCCCACTGACTGAGCTACAGGCCAGGCTAGCACCCCACTGACTGAGCTACAGGCCAGGCTAGCACCCCACTGACTGAGCTACAGGCCAGGCTAGCACCCCACTGACTGAGCTACAGGCCAGGCTAGCACCCCACTGACTGAGCTACAGGCCAGGCTAGCACCCCACTGACTGAGCTACAGGCCAGGCTAGCACCCCACTGACTGAGCTACAGGCCAGGCTAGCACCCCACTGACTGAGCTACAGGCCAGGCTAGCACCCCACTGACTGAGCTACAGGCCAGGCTAGCACCCCACTGACTGAGCTACAGGCTAGGCTAGCACCCCACTGACTGAGCTACATCCCACGCAAGCACTCTACAAACTAAGCTAAATCCCCATTCCACTTTCTACAGATTTAATGTGTGTGTGTGTGTGTGTGTGTGTGTGTGTGTTGTCAAACTCACATATGCTGAGCAATCACTCTACCAGTGAGCTATACCTCCAATCCCTCTTTCACATTTTTTTTGAAACAACAACAGTTTGCCATGGGATTGGGAATCACATGTAGACTCCCTCTTTTCTTTTCTTTCTTTCTTTCTTTCTTTCTTTCTTTCTTTCTTTCTTTCTTTCTTTCTCTCTCTCTCTCTCTCTCTCTC